GAGTAAAGGCTGACAAGGATGGCAACGTAGAGCGCTTCAAGTCAAGATTAGTTGCAAAAGGGTGCGCGCAACTATTTGGAGTCGACTACTTCGAAACGTTCTCACCGGTGGTGAGATATTCATCCGTCAGGATGATCATAGCGCTGGCAGTGGAGAAAAAGTTGTTCCTGCACCAAATGGATGTGTCGTCTGCTTATTTACACAGCGAGTTATCTGAAGAGGTTTACATGAAGCAGCCAGATGGGTTTGTAAACGCTAAACATCCAGGCAAGGTGCTGAGGCTGAAGAAATCTCTCTACGGGCTGAAGCAAAGCGGTAGAGAGTGGAATGCCAGGCTAAATGATGTGCTGAAAAAGCTGGGCTTTGTGCCATGTGTGAGCGAGCCGTGTGTCTATATACGCAATAGGCAAGGTAATATGAATATAATTGCTGTATATGTAGACGATCTTTTAATTGCTAGCTCGACGAAAGATGACCTGGAAGACATAAAATCATCAGTTGGCGATGAGTTTGATGTAGTTGATGGCGGCCAGCTAAACCACTTCTTGGGCATAGAAGTAGAACGCGAAGGTGAAACTGGCGGCATAACTATTGGTCACAAGCAGTACGTGGAAAACCTGCTGCATGCGTGGGGCATGTCAACGTGTAAGCCTGTTGCTACACCCCTAGAAGCCGGTCATCAAGTAAAGTGTGATGACAGTGGCTGCACACCCGTTGATGTAAAGAGTTATCAGTCGTTGATAGGCTCTTTGATGTATTTGGCAATAACGACAAGGCCAGATATTTTGCATTCCGTCGTAAAGTTGGCACAACGAAATGCAAACCCCCATAAGGAACACGAAGTTGCAGCAAAGCGTGTGCTAAGGTATCTAAAAGGCACAGCTGATCTGAAACTTCATTACAACGCTACGGGAAAACCGATCCATGGGTACGTCGACGCAGACTGGGCGAATGATACCACGGATCGTAAGTCGTATAGTGGATACGTCTTCATTGGAGCAGGCGGTGCTATCTCATGGGAGTCCAAGAAGCAAAGTCTGGTGGCGTTGAGCAGCACTGAAGCGGAGTACGTCGCTTTGTCTACAGGAGCACGAGAGGCAGCGTACTTGAAAAAATTGTTAGTTGAAATGGGTTTCAACGATGTCAATTGCATAAAATTGTATTGTGACAATCAGAGTGCGCAATGTTTAACTAAAAACCCAACATTGCACAACCGTAGTAAGCATATTGACATCAAATACCACCATGTTCGAGAAATGTATACTAACAATGAAATAGATGTCGAATACATATGTACTAACGATATGATTTCAGATGTTTTAACTAAGAATTTGCAAAGAAACAAACATGTGAAATGTATCAATGAGATGAATTGTTATTAGTACTATGTAAATCAAGTAAATAATGGTTGAGAAGGAGTATTGAAATCCGTTAGATTAAGGCAACTATTATTACTTGATATTTGGTCACACTTGTTTTGTCATTATGCTTTGTGCTATGTATCTATAACAAGTTAGTTCTCATCAATCGTTTGCTAAGGAAAGAACTCGCGCATAAGCGTATAATAAAATATGTATAACCTCTAAAACTTTAAAGCAACTGCGTCTCACTTCTTCCTCCAACTGCTCTAAAATTATAGCCACCAAAGGTTATAATTTCCAACAGTTTGACATATGTTCGCTGCATACGGCCGGCCACTTTCTGTCTAAAGTAATTACAAAAAAAAAAAAAAAAAATTTAAAGAATTTAAATTTGAATATGAAAAAGTTCCTTTATATAATTAAATTTGCCAGCAATATTTTTTTACCCTGATGCTGCACATATGCCTTTAAATTTTAAAATTGTTATCCATAATTTTTATTATCATTTTATATTTATTATTATTATTATTTATATTTATATTTATATTATATACATTTTTATATGAATTTTTACGATTGATAAGCAAAGTTTAAAAATATTTTGAATAGTTACACCACGATGTTTTAACGTGCCGTAATTTACTAGAAGCCATGGCGAGAGGTGGGCTATTGACGTAGGTTCTGGTAATATTAGGGATCACCGGTTTCGACCTGCGGCCAAAGGTGATCATGGTAGGGTGGGCACAGAACCTGCTGCCGCGACACCAGCAGCGCAGCAGAGCGCAGAGGTAGAACACTTTAAAACGACAATCTACCACTTTCCTCCAGACATACCAAATACAAAATATCCGTGAAAGTAAAGAAAAGCACGCGAATTTTAATGGCATTAAATATTAGCGATCGAGCAAGTAGCACTGCGGCCTTAAAGAAGAACCACCCCCATATTGCCGACGACCGCCGTAGCCGGAATAAGCGCGTGCTCCGCTTAGCCGCTACACCCATCATCAGCTCGGCCAACAGTAGTAGCGATATACGTTGCATGCTACAGCATATACAATTTCTTAACTTTCTTAAATAACCTGCTTTTTTTTTAGGGCCCATACTTCTAGAGCTTTTAATATTTACATTGATGCGAGACTGTTCATGGCTATTTTCATAAACAATCGAAAATTGATTTTGTATAAGAGTAAAAGATTCCAACGTTTAATTTAAAATTAAATTAAAAATACATGAGCAGTTGTGTCAGTGGAGTAAATAAGCAACAAATAACGTAGTTTTTTAATTAAATTCGCCATTGTATAAATAATATTTCTTATTGTAGTTGGAATGCTTATTTTTATTTTCTTACTACTACATATCAAGCAATTACTATATATTATGTGTTGCTGAGGCTTAACTTTGCAGTAAGCTTTGCCAAAATGTTCAAAATTAAAATGTGAAATAAAATTGTTTTTAGTTTTCTTGAAATAAGTTTGCCGCCTCGGTAAGCCGAAAAATGGGATTGTTCGAGCTTCAAGTTATTGAGGTTTACACGGACAAGTTCAATACAGGCCCATTTTCGATATGCATGATATTTTTGGCTGTACTGGCATACATTATTCTGTATAGGTATCAGGAAAGCAGGCATTAGGCAATCATCAAACAGATTACACACATAAGTACATGTGCATGGATGGATGATATTTTCGATATGAAATGGAATGTGCAACGAATAAAATGTTAATAAATATAAAATGCGAAATTTATTGCATTGCATATTGACCATCAATTTCGTTGTTTCGGTTGTGGTTTTTGTTTGTGGCGCCAATGCCAGCCAGAATGACCGCAATTAGTGGCCATGCCCCCTTATTTGTGATTTATAATTGCGCATACTTGTGTGCCGCGTTGATTGCAACTTTTGCTATAGTTGTGCAATTAATGGTCATAGTATTTCAAACTACTAGCTGATATTTATTTGTTTCGCTAATTAACTGACCGAAGAGATTGAAAAATGGAAAAATGCATGTTAATATTATGTCATTGATCATGCTACGACACTAAACCGATATGACTCTGAATGCCAGTGTGTACTCGTACAGAAGAGAGTTCATGCAATCGCAGGCTCTATCTGTGCGCTTCGTTGTCAACTTCAGTGGGCGGCAAAAAGGACGAAGGCTATACTCATACGCATGATGTCTTTCTTTGTGCGTGTGACATATGCAAATATTTATGCAGTGCGTCTGTCTGCTCTGTACAGTTGTGCATAACATTATGCAAATGCGCTGTTGTGTGTGTGTGTGTGCGTGTGTGTGTATGAAAAATAAATACACTTACACTGGCGCATGTCAAAAGTCACACACACGCCCAGGCAACCAGTGGAGCGCCATAAAAGTTAAGTAAATATATAAACACGCAGCGGCTTACGTATTTCTGCCTGCCTGCCTGCCTGACTGCTTGTTTATTATTAATGGTGCTGTTGTTGTTGTTGTTGTTGTTGTTGTCATTGCTGCTGTTTGATGCTCTGCTTGTGTGAGTGTATGTGTGAATGTTGATATTGTTATTGATATATACATATGCACGTAAATCAAAATGTTTGTAAGTTGAGTAAACATTGAAAATCAGTTATGCTCCATGCTCCTTCATGTACTCGTATATACCTGGTACCTACCAAAAAGCCCTCATATGCATATGAGAACTGATTGGCAGGCGCCAGCACCACCAGCACCACCACCACCATCACAAATTTGGGCCTACACGTATGTGTGTGACTGGGCGTGATCAGAGCTCAGTTGCCAATGCGGCCTTTATGTAATTTCATCGATAAATTGCGCGTGAATGATGCATAAATCAAATAAAGTTAAAAAATTATATGCCTATATGAACTTTGGCGTACAGCGAACAAAGCGCGTAAGCGTAATATCCATATCGGTGTCGCATCGAATAGCTGAGCTGTCATTTATCAAAAAACAGTTCATTCTTTAACATGCTGGCATTAATTCTGACCGCTCTTAAAAGATACATATTTGACCAAAATAAATAAATCGAATTTCATATTGGGCGACTGAGTTAAATCATTTCACTTTTTCGTAAGCAGTATTTAGGACTGTCCCCAATTCTGAATCCATTTCCTATAGATTGCAACACTTACCGATTTACAGATTTTGGTTATTTCGGTTCAATGGACTTAACCAAAAACTGAAGGAACAAAAATCATGCAACACCTACTGAGGGATTTTTGTTATTGTCCCAAGCCGTGTGGTATGATTGATGTTTTCATACGACATTTTTATAAATATTACATTAAATTTTTTCTGTTATTAAACCAAAATATATTTATCATTTAAAGAAATTATGCATTCTGCTCAAATTTGATGATTTTTGAGCAAAGCTAATACATTGCTGCGACTAACACTTTTCATCGATTCGACGAAGAACAAAACTAATTTTCGGAAAATGCAAAAAAATGTTCATGAAATAATTTCCTTTAAGCTTAGTCGAGAAATATATGAGGAGGTCCTAAGAATTGAAATCTTAATTAATTTCATAATAAATAAAATATGAAAATGCAAAAACTGACAATGTTGACGAAGAACAACCTTAGTGTGCGCAAAACAAGAATAACCATCTAGGGTTAAGCTAAGAACAAATAAAATTAAAGCATTTAGCACGAAACGCAGATCGTTGCGCCATAACTTAACAATTTTAATTGCTTCGGGAACAAATTAACAAAATTCAAACTAGTTTGTTCATAGTTTCTTGAACATACTTTGCTTCCTCAGGTTCGGTGCAACAGAAGGTCTGGCAGCAGCAGAAATGGAGGGTCCACGATGTGTCTGAATAGAACTGAGAATGACTCAATGACCCGACAGATTGAAAAACGGTATGACGTTGCTCTTGTGCACGCTCCGCAGCTAACTCCCGAGCCTGAGCCTCAATAATAGTCTGCCTGTCGGCTTCGATTTGTGCCATCAGCTTGTGATAGCAAGGATGCGATGGATGAAATCCTGGCTCCAAAAGCTGATTTCGCTGCTCTTCGCTAGCTCCTGTAATAGCCGATAAAGTCACGGAGCCGAACGTTTGCTCGTCTTCTCCATCATCTTCGTTTGAGGGACAAATCTCAGAAATGCAACTCTCACTTGACATCTTAAGCATTTCATCTGGAACGCTTACTTCGGACGACAAATCACCGAACTCCTCGGCTATTAGATTTCTAGCCAATTGTACTGACATGAACTCCTTATAGTGTAGCTTGCGGCGGCGTTCGAATTCGAGGCGACGAACCTTCTCCTCCAGCGATTCGGGAAAATCGTCGTCATCGGAAGAATCATCAGAGTCGTGCTCAATTCCAAATGAAGGTGTTTCGGACTGCGCAGCCCTGCGCAGCTTCTCCATCAGCGTTTCTGTGTCCAAGCAACGCAACCCCTCATCCTCAACGATGAAAGGCGTCTTTGGCTCATCAATGGTCATATGACCATAGTCTTTGTCGGCCGGATGGAAAGTCTCTAATACATTCATCTCATCGAATTTGGCCCTCTTTAGTGTAATCGTCGGTAGGATATTGGCGCGGCCGAAATTTTTTAGTATACCGCGCACAATTGGCTTATCGCCCGTATTGTCCATCGTTAAGTTTTTTGGATGAGACAAAATTTGAGAATAAAATATGTAGATGGGCAAATGTTTCGTGTTCTTTTTGGAGTTGAGAATGTGAATGAATAAAAAGTTTGAATAGTAAGTCAGTGGCTGCTTAGGTTAATATTACGGCTTCCTGAGTTTTTAATTTTGTTTTGTTACTGTTCAAACAAATCTATATTTTTTATTTGAATTGGTTTCCAAATAATTCTTATACACTCTATCTAACAGTTGCTTACGTGTATTATTAATACAAGTACATAGCTTGACAAATACATAATCGCATATGTAGTTATTTGAAACAGCACATTTAAATATTTGTTGACAACTAGAAGCTTAACTTGTAATGAATACATTAATACTTGTAAATAATCAGATTAGATTCACACACAGTGTTATCTCTAGACAATGAAATGTCAGTACCATTACATTATTTAGAGCCTTATACATTTATTAGCTGTAATTTTTTCCACTCTCAATATAGTTGGTTCTCTTTACAACTCACTTTTATTTACAGTAAATGTATGTGAATATCTCAACGGCATAACTTTTATGCATTTCTATTCTTTATAGCGATGTCGGTCATTACTGCACATCAGGGCGTTTGTCATCTCGATGCGACGGTGTCAAGTTGCCGCGTTTTAAGGCTCTCATTGCCACAATTTCAGCTCGAGACAGTAAAAGCTTGGGGCTGTGCAGCCGCAGGACATCAAGTTGTTGCTGTGGCTCCTGCGGTGGCTGCCATCTGCTCTAATGAAACAAAAACAGACAAGTTAATGTACAGTTGATGTACATTTTAATGGCATAGCTTTTGGACTTATGCTCTGTGCTTTGCTTTGCTTCGCTTCGTTTCGCTTGATTTCTTGCTCTCTTCCGCTTGCTCCGACTAGCCATAACTGTCTACAGATTTGCATAAAAGCCACGGCCACAAAATGCCGCGAACGCTAATTGAGTGACTAAGCGCTGTGGCTAAAGTTTTCCCCATTCTAATGTCATTGTCAACCGCTACCGTGGACGGTTCCCAACTAGCTGTCATTTTCTCTACCCATAAACCGAAAAGCGCAGCAGCATTATTTGAGTCGTCTTGCCTTCCAGTTACCCCATTATCCGGTTACTGTGAATGGAGCTCATGAATATGCCTTTTATAAATAATTCAAGCGCATGCTATTTGAAGCGTTTCGGTCTGAGGCAATGCCATTGTGCTGATAGCCCCGTAAGCCTTTGCCTACTAACATGCATTATGTATTGCCTATTTAACGCACGCACACACAAACAAGCACACATATACATTGGAGATGTGTGGCTAATACATTTTGAGTTAATTTGGAGAGCTAGATTTGCATTAAAATTAAGTTAATGACATAAATGAGTGACTGAACTGAATATTAACCATGCACCAGAAATTATCTCTACAAGTAACGTGGAATATGTGCTCTTTCTTCTTTGATTATATTTTATTACAAAATGCATCAACTTATATTTAATATACTCCTTATGAAGACAAATAAGTGTTCACTTAGTACTAGTGTTTTTCTGTGGAAAAGATCCAGTTCAGTTATGGTACTACACTATGTATATCGCAAAGCACACTGCACGCACACAAACACACTCACAAAGGGTCCTTAAGTCGTTTTGTAGAGCACCGCAAATTAACAGAGCGCATTGAATGGACTCTATACAAAAGGGGAAAACATACACACAACGGTCGCTCCAAATGTCACAGTCAGGCACAAGCAGCAGCAACAGCGACAACAACAACAACAGCAATAACAATAATAACTGTCGGAAGTAGCCTCTTTTGAAATGCAAACTTAGAATTTTAGTTGTTGCTGTTGTTTTTGTAAAGTGAATTCGGCATTAAAATCAACTGTGCATGTTTTTCGAATTATTCGAGCATAATTTCTCGACTGGCAGCAGCTTGTATTGACTTCCTGCACATTTAACTTAATTTGCGCACAAAAGTAGGCAACACTTTTCTATGCCACCAGAGGCTCTCGGCTCACAGAATTAGCACAACTGTCCTCTGTCCCCTGACCACTGTCCACTATCCTCTAACCCTGTATCCTAGATGTGTGTTTGTGTGAGCCGTTGCCTTTGCTGGGCCTCTGGTCCATAAAACAAAACGCAAAATAACACAATTTACAGTTAATCTAAATGTTGGTTTTTATTAGTACAAGTTTTTGTGGTCTGCTTGCGGTGAGAGAAGAAAAGAGGGAGAGAGAGACAGAGAGCAAGAGGGTGAATAAAAGTGTGAGTAGTACATGATATAACAACTCGAAAAGTGACTTTATTATAATTTGAAACTTTTGATTTACAGCCCCAACTGTGTGTCGCTGTGCCTGTCTGTATGTGTATGCTTGTACGAGTACTCGTATACTATGTGTCTGTTTATGTACCGCCTTGATTTTGTCTTTTTGTTCAGCTCAAGACACCAAAGTACCAAGCAACCCACTCGACTGCCAAGTGGCCTGGTAGCGCATTTTATGGCAACAACAGCAATACAAAAGCCAACTGAAATGATGCTAATTTTTATGCAGACACAAAAACCCATAAACACAGACAAATGCACACACACACACACATATATATACATACAGCCACGCGACAACAGTAACAATAATAAGAACAGTCAGACATACAGCCATCTTCAAATTGTAGCACACACAAAATTTTCAAGTCAGATAGCAGCGATGGCAGTGGCAGTGGCAGCCAAGAGCGCCAGAAACTCAATTGCAAAACTTTTCACAAAAAGATTTATAAAATTACAACAATAAAAACAACAATAAAATTAAGCATTGTAATATTGTAACAATACAGGACAGAAGAAAGGCACAAAAAAATGCTTACTGAAATATGAAAATGATGTCGCAAGCGTGAACTTTGCCGCACATGAAAAGCTTGTTAAATTTACGCTTGAATATCAAATCACTTTTAATTTGATTATTGCACACGGTCAGTGGCGACGAAATGTACAGTGGGTCCAGATTATCACTCCATTTAGACAATGATGGAGCACAATGGATACTTAAATCTCAGCAATGTTAGCAATTAATGATTGTATCTAAGTATGATGAGTATTCCAATTGATATTTTAAAGATATTACATGTAATGCATCAACATTTGTATTTATGGTTTAATTGTTCCTCCTTTCTTATTTATCTTAAAAGTTGTAGGTATTTATTACGTTAATGTAATGTATAATTTGGAAAAGCAACTTTTTTTACTTTTGAAATAAAAGACCCCGCTGCATAATATCGTTCATTTGACAGCATTGGTATATAATGATTCAACATTGTCGGTCTGTCTTTCAACAAGAACTTAAACTTGTGGAGTAATAGTGATTTAAAAATACTGATGGATTCGTCAGTCAATCCACTTACAGACTTACAGATAGATAGAGATGTAGATAGAAAGTACGGGTCATAGCATGTGGTCTAATATTTCAGACCAAGAACAATAAACCCCCGCATTTTTCATCAAAATCTATACCAATATATTTTTTTTAATATTTTAAATATTTAATATACAAATCTGTTCGCCCGTAACAAGAGACCATAAGTAATTTTAACAAAATTGAAAGGAGAACGAAAGAGGGCTAACAGCTATACATAAATAATTTATGTTTATTTATTTATTTTTGGATTTTGGGCATAACTTTAAATTTATATGTTGCTGCTATTGTTGGCTTAAATATCTTGCTTTGGCACGCGCCATAATTGCAAATCAATGAGCTGTGCGCCGATGAGCCAGACAATAGACACACTGATTAGGGCGCAGCTAACGATGATTACGGCAATTGTGTGTGTTGATGTGCTTATGTGTGTGTGTGTGTGTGTGTGTATGTATGCAGCTAAGCTCTGCATACGCCCACTCACACTACGCCTCCTTTCCCTCCTCCCTCTCCTCTACACTCCTTCACACCACGTTTTGTGTATGTGTGTCGCATTTTAATAAATTACGTGACAAACTGCATGCAATTCACAATGATGATGATAACTGCCTGCCACTCTTAAAGCCTGCCGAACGCCCCAAACAATTTCCTCAGAGCTTAACGGTTAACAGCTGCAGCAGGTGGCCATGCTTGCCACAAATATTTGTTTGTTTGTTCGCTTGTATCTGTGCGAGAGTGTGTGTGTCGGTGAGTTGGTGAGTGGGTGTGCACGAGTATACTTGTATGTATGTGTGTCTGGCAAATTTCGTTAATGTAGGCTCATTAGTTGGTATTAAAGTAACATTATGAGCACAATTTGCAACACGCCAGTTTTAGCAACTGCAACTGCAACAGCAGCAGCAGCAGTAAGAAGAGCAGCAGTGGCAGTAGAAACAGCAGTAACAGCTGCTGCCGGCATCTTGCACATTTGCATATCTGTCTCGCTGTTTCAAGTGTAATTTGCAAAATTAAATGACAAAGTTTTGCACGCTGCTAACAATATTAAATCGGATTTCGAAAGCTCGTCGTCGCCACTGCTACTGCCACTGCCTCCTTTGTCGGGAGGTAACTCGGCTGCCACCACCACTGTCGCCATCGTTTCCAGCTACAAATGTAATTACATTTTCTGTTTTGTATGTTAACAAACCGTATAATTGGCTTGGCGCTTTGTCGCGCGCCTGCATTTGCTGTTAACAGTTGTAGCTCTGAAATGTGTGTCCGTCTGTCCGGCAGTCCAATGGATTTTGGCTTTGACTCTACTTAGCTGATAAGCAGCAACAGTTAGATACATAGCAGGAGAAGAACGAGGGAGTACAAAGCGGAGCTCATTCATTGGGTTATGCAAGCGTTGCCAAGCTAATGACTGTGGTCTCTGACTCCGGCTTAGTAATGGAGGCCACCACTCTGTTTGTATAATGATTGTGGACGAACAATGATTTGCTAAATAACTAGTTCAATTAATTGAATTTGCAATTACGATAAAATACTGTTTTGGGGTAAGAGATAGTGCAGTATATAAAATGTATATAAGATAAATGCATTTTCATTTGTTTATGAAATTCTAGATTCTTTGTAATGGAAATATATGTATAAGTGTGGGTTTAATTACATACGAGCTTAAGCTGTTTCTTAATTTTAAAAGAAGCAAGTTTCCATCTTAAATATGTATGTACTGTATACTGTAGCGTTCTCTCTTGTTTTAAAATGTATAGTTTTTAGTTTTTGTAATTTGTCTTATATTATTTTTCGATTTATGGGTTTTTTTTTAATAATAGGCTCCTTAATTTTTTTTGTTTTCTCTTATTACTGGCATTTTTATTTTCATTTAAATAAATTATTTATAATGTGTCGCTAATTAACCAATTTTTTGATTTCACGCCGAACCCAATGCCTTCGTAAGTTTTTTTTGTTTCCAGCGTAAGGGGTCATTGTTAGTATTCTTTTTTTGTTCTGAGTGTGGCTTTTAGTAATGACCAAGGTAGGGAGGGCGTATTCAGACTCGCCAACATAACATCTGAACATACATATGTGTGCAGTTTAGTGTAGGTGCAAGTCCGTCCGAAGTCAGTTTAAGTGTTTCTCTTCCGGTTTTGTTTTCTCGTCTTCTCCACGCTTATTTAAAATAAATTATAAGAAGGGGACATACATGACGTAGAAGGTAAAGAACACCACCCAATTGCCGACGAGCCAGAGCCAGAACTCTAAGCGTGCCGCTCTTACGCATGTCGACCACCTAGTCCCAATATCCTTCTGTAACCGTTACAAAGTAAAATATTTGGATGTAGATTGTTGAGATTGTTTATATTACAACGCTTGTTTTATGTGGAAAAATGTTTAAGGTATATGAATAAAATAGAACGAACTGTTGGAGGATTCAACTATTTATATTTACACGTATTTGATTTCGATTCAAAATAAAAGTGTTGAAAATATAATTTTGTTATAAGTTATCAGAGAAAGGAAAATTTAAATTATTTGATACAATAAAAACAGTGCGACGCGGTGAGAAAAGGTAAATCTGAAAATAGTCTTCCAGTTTAGTGAAATGAAGCAAAGCTTGTAACTTTATAGCTTCCGTTTAAATCTTTTTGAGATATGCATACAATCCAGACATGCCCCAGTAAGTATATACTCGTACATACCTCTTGATAATGCTCACTATAGTCATTATGAGGCCACAAAGGAACGGCAATTGCAACTGCAGCAAGCTGTTCTGTTTTTTTTTCCTAGTAATGCCGACACGTTGCTACGGTGCGGAAATAATTGGCATTGTTATTGGTTTATTTGTAAATACATGAGTGATGCAAATGATATTGCCTTTGCCACTGCCGGCGTTTCCAAGCAACAGAAACAATAAACTAGAACTCTCTGCAATATCGTTGCTGGTGCTATTTGTGTCGGGAATGTGTTAATGCTTGGCGCCATTGAAAGACCGGTGGCCATTGGTCGGAGACGGCTCTGGAGCTGTTTGCTCGAGTGGTGTCCGGAAGGTTGCCTCGCAGGCCCAGCTGGCCTGGTCGGCAACTAGGCCAGTTGCACAGGCAATGCGGCATGAAATTTGAGTTGGTTGGCATGTTAAACAATTTTGTGGTCAGTTGGCATAACAAAGCCCCACGAGCCAAATATTTACTCAGCTCGGCCAATATGTACAATTCAAAAGAGAAAAGGTCAAAACGGCTCGCAGTGCAATAAGCACGAATTCAACCCGTACCCAGCCAATCCCATCCCATCCCATCTCATCTCATTCCATCCCATTTCAGCTAGACAACTGCCGCCCACAAGCCAAAGATGCGGGAACAACAGGAATAGTATTTTTAATCTCATTATCAAAGCCGGTGCGATGCAGCAGCAACAACAACAAATTTCATCCCAGAAACCACAATATGCCTCCAAATTGATTTGTGCGTGCCTAGGCTTGGTGCCTTCAACTGTTTGTTGTTGTTGTTGCTGTTGTTATTGTTGCCGCTGTCTCCCTCTGTCTTGGGCCACATATTTGAGTTGCACTTGACATATGCTGGAAACAAGGCCGAAAGATTTTCGGTGCTTAAAACAACTTGAAAGGGAATCTGAACATTAATTGATTTTATACACACTTCAATGGGTTTTTAAGTTCACAAACACACCCACACGAGCACACACATGACCTTGCATGCCCTCACGCATACCAACAATGAGAAAGAACGAAGCTGATTTGCGTTGCGAATGGCTAGTTGGCTTGTTCAATGCCCACAAGGCGAATGTTCAGTGGGCTCCCCTGAAAAAGGAAAAATGTCATGTCTACCCCAAACAAAATTTTAGTATTTAATATTTATACTCTATACATGAAATGTACAAGAGTATATTAGGTTTGCGCGAGCTGCAAAATGTAACAGGCAGGAGTAGGCGTGGCAGATCCCATAGCGTGACAAGACGAGTCGATCTAGCCCTGTCTGTCCGTCTGTCTGTATGTCTGTCCGTATGAACACCTGGATCTCAGAGACTATAAGAGCTAGATGCACAAATATGCTTTATGTGTGTACGTTGTGCAAGTTTGTTTTATTGTTTTGATTTCGCAACCCCCCCCCCCCCCCCCCCCCCCCCCCCCCCCCTCCCACTTCCCCCTTATGGGGGTTTTCCCGATTTTCTGTTCGAATAATCAGTTATATCTCGGAGACTAAAAGACCTAGGGACACCAAATTAGCCCCAAGTGCCTCATGTAAATACGCAGAAACTGTGTATTTTGGAATGTATACGTGATAAAAGGCCCACTGTGCGGCAATTGCCAAGCTTCAGTCGAGTGTAGCAATGTGGCTATGGCAATGGTGATGACAATGAAGATGACGATGGGGTGAGGGCTGAGGGCGGATCTTGGCCGACGTGCGCGTGACCAACTGACAATGCCAGTAGCAGCAGCAGCAACGAGGCAGAAACAATAACAACCGCAAAAATGAACAGGAGAGAACGCTACAGTGAGCAAGCCCGACAGTAAAATACCCTGTAATCTCCACAAAAAATACAAATGAAATGAAATTAATTACTTACATTAAATAAAAAATATTCAATACATATGTACATACATACAAACGTGAAGACATGATAATGTAAAGTTTCAACAGCATACATTTACATAATCGTGTGTATGCGTGTTTATATGCAGTACAGGAATAAGTCAAAGCAGCAACAACAACGGGCAGAGCTTTGGCAGAGAGTATTTTTACGGCTATAACTTTCTTATATTTAAGCTATTGTAATGAAACTTGGATTACGGACTCATAATCACTAAATGGAGATCACTAACTTGAGTCAAAAGTTCTAAGAATTAGGGGAGTTTTGAAAAAACACTAATAGCAGGGGCCTACATCAGAATAATAAAACAAACTTCACCTGGCTAGGGCTCAGGGGAACCTGGATACCAAGTTTGATAATTCTATCTCTTGTACCTTCTGAGATCTTTGCGCTCATACAGACGGACAAGGCTATATCGACTTGTCTTGTCATCCTGTTCAATAATATATATACTTTTTGGGATCTGCCACGCCTCCTTCTGTATGTTATATTCATTCGCTCAGAACTAATATAGCCTTTTACTTTTTGGGTACACTCTGTAAAAACAGAAATAAATATACTATGGAGGGAAAAGGAAAAAGGGACATGGATATCAAAAGTCCAAATATATTTCTCTATTAATTAATTAATTCAAATAATAATTCATTAAGGTGATGCTAATATAGAATATGTTAAATAAAGAAATAATTGCTATCACCGCATATATTGAGGTCAACCTTCTGAGGATGGTTGTAATAAGATTGCTATTTAAGATGGAGATAACTATTGTGTGATGTGATGGTGTCTTATAAAGGAGAAAAATAATTGCTATTCCTTAGTTGTCTTTTAGAATTGAAATGCCCAAACAAAATTAATGTAAAACACATAAAATAACGTTTCAATCAGCAATTGTCTTAATAATTAGAGGTCCAGGTGTATACAAATGTTGTACAAAAATTTGGGACGTGTGTGTTTGTGTATAGACAATTCTTAAATTTCGAGGCTGTCTTCTTAGATCACTTAATCTAAACGGTGTCTAGCTTTGCCGGTCCTTTGACATCGCATTCATTTTGTTCTACAGACTGGAAAAAGCAGTTGAACTGCCAGTCTCTTTGTGTGATGTGACGGCTTGAGGTCCGAGATCGTCCGGATTTCCGTTTTAGGCACTCTTTTTTATGGTCGGGACCGAAGAAAACTGCACGGACTTTTGCTCCTGGGAAACCTGTATCACCATGCATTTGTATGCTATGTATGGCATTTGAAGGAAAAGTAATTTCCACTTACTGCTTTGATTAAAGACGGCTTCGATACACTTTTCAGTGAACGTTCAGAATTCATTTTAATGATACTTGGAAACAAAAGAAACTAAAGATAAAATATAAATTTTTCTGTTAATTTTAGGTGCTAGGAATTTTGTTCAGCTCTCCACGAAGTTAAGAATGCGAATGAATTTTATGTGAAATTTTAAATGGAATATGCCTGATAACTAAACAAATGATATATTGATGCCAAGCTAAATTTATCAGAAGTCCAAATAATCTGTTAACTGTAGCTTTTTTATTTCTGAAATCTTTCTATTGAAGTCTGTTGTATATCTAATAAAAAAGGCTTCTTCTTTCAATTACTGTTCTGTGGGAAAATGGTCACAATGTAGTAAGGCTCCAATACTATAATGGATTAACTATTTATTATTACAAAAACCATTAAAAATCATATCGTTTCAATAAGCGCTAAATGATTTAGAAATCTTACCCACCATTAGTACTTTTTAGTGAAGGGTAAGCAAATTACTAAGAGATTTCCAGAGATCAAGAGCGTTTTTTTAGTTAGTGAAACATATTAGATATTTATATATAAATTACGTGTTACGTATTCAGTTATGTTGATTTTGGAATGTAGACAGTATAGACGAAATTCTGTAGCGTGGAGAGGGGAAAGAAAATCAGAAAAATAAAATAAACTCGTGTAGCTTAGGGACTAGGAGCATATATATACCAAGTTTAGTAAATGTGCACTCAACCGTTTCCGAAATCTATGCGATCATTCAGAAGGACGGACGGACAGACAAACGGACGGACATGTCTAGATCGATTTCTTTCGTCATGCTGATCAAGAATATATCTGCTTTATCGAGTCGGAGATGCTCCCTTCTGTCTGTTACATACTTTGCACAAACCTAATATACCCTTTTTACACTACGAGTACAGGGTATGAAAAAAAGGAAATTTAAACGAAATTACTGCTTTGCATGTCGAGCGACGCACTGTGCCAATTTTCAGTTAAAAGGCCGGAAAAGAAATACGCAAAAGCAATATAATAAATGCCTTTGCTTTGTGGTGATGATGAACAGTAACCGCAAGGCAGTCAGCGAAAACCGAGCAGTTGCAGCAATAGCTGGGAAATACTCGTACTGTAGCATATTTGAGGGAGCACTCTGGTACAGAAAAGGAAACGCTGAGCTTGTTGGGCAACATGTAATGCGATGCTGACATCGTTCGTAAAATGTTCCTACAAAAATGTCAACTTTGGAGCAGATTGAGTCACCTGATCTATATGAGCCGTAACTTACGCATATTTACTCGAACATGTGCCTTCATTCATTGTCGGCTTTTCTTTTTATGTGCAACGCATAAAAATGGCCAACGCCCAATGCGGCGACTTTCCTTGTTGCTTTATCTTTTAGCGTTTTATGTCGCATTTGGTGCACGCAACGCGCTCGACGCTCGTTTTATTGTAATAAATTTAAAACATTTTGCCCTCATACACATTTTATGAACCAGCTGCAAGGCAAGAAGTGTCGGAAGAGCGATGGCGGAGAAAGAGTTTTTGCAGCGAAGTGAAAGCTAAGATATTTTATTTGGCCATTGAGACTGAGTGGCAAAGTGCAGCACAATTGGGACTTATGCAAATGGTGATATATGTACCTATACATATGCAGAAGCACACACACACACACACACACACACACACAAATACAGAAACATAACTGCACGTAGCCTTGAAGTACGTTGCAGTTTCAAAAATAAATAGTTTTTGTGAATGTTGCACGCGCGCTACTTTTGCCATAGATTAAAAAATGTCAACGGAATTTATGCAGAATTATGCAATGGAAATAATGGCAACAACAACAATAACAATAACAACAAAGGATGAGGTACCAACACAACTGAAAGCTTTTATGCATATGCAAAGCAGCTGTTGAAGTTGACATTACGCATACGCCATGTGCTACCGAAGCCCCTACATGCGTGCGTATGGGATAAATCGCGATTTACCCGTTACAGTGATTTTAGATTGTCATTCGAAAGTATTATTTTTAAAGAAGATGATTCGGTTTCGATGTAAAATTTTATATATCTATACGATTGTAATTGTTGAGTTTAGATTTAATTTATACTTATCATCACTTCTTAAAACTTATCAATAAAGCATTAAAGCACTATTAATTTAAAGTACATGTGTATTTGAAAAAAGTTTTTATATTATACTTATTACTTATCACAATTTGAGAACGATCTTGCTGCCTCGTTAAAAAGCCTGCAGATTTTACGTTCATAGAGACAGCTATCATAGGTGTAAGTAGATATGTTCATGTACACGGAAAAGAAAGAAGGAATGAGTTGAAAGATACCCCTCAGGGCTTAAAAGTTCAATTACAGATACATGCAAATTTGTATAAGGTAGTATGCATTAATTGGACTTTTATAAAATTGAATAAATGGACGTAACGACTACAAGCTTCTAAATTATTTATACATTCTATCCGTATCTGTTTACCTTTTTTACATAATTTCCAAGTATTGTTCAAGGCTCAAGTTCTGAGTATCAGCAACATGTTAGTTCGTATGTAATTAATGAATAAACATTAATAGGTCAGAGAATTGTATAACCACAATTATTATTATTTTATATAGATGTCAATAATGCGATTATAACAGTTAAAGGACTGTTGTCGATCTGCCTTTTGACGTCCTATACAAGAGTCGGGTTGGAGGTATGTTTGACGTTCTTTGTTTCGGCTCTCTATGTTTTCTTAAGGTCAGCGAATGCTTAATTAATGAATTAAAAAGTGATTTAAATTGTTAAGCTTATACCCTTTCCTGTTATTAATCTGTAGTGACCATAGTTGCTAAAAATATCCAATATTTAGTTGTTATTTATTTGTATTGTTTCAAAATCAGCAGTTGAAATACTTTACACTCATAACATAAAGTAGTATTCGTTAAAATGGAGTGAATTGTTTTCTGAAGCTTTCTAGATAATTCACCGTAAACTACATAAGACCGATCACAATTCACGGGCATCGATTCAAACGACTCAACACTTGGGTGCCTGCTTTATTTTCAATACAACATTCGCTATGTACGCACTAACAATGAGTCGGAATAAATCGGGGGCATGGGCATATGTATGTATATGCATATTTTATGCCGAACCTTTTGGCAAGTCGCAGCTGCGCGTTAAATCAACAGAAATCGCACGTTCGCATACACACAGCTACAGATACAGATACACACACATACAGATACAGATACAGATACACGCGCACTCACTCATGCACGCGCATTCAATTTTAATAAAGAGGACTGCAGTAAAGTCAAACAACAAACGAGTCGGTTGCTTCATTATGCGCTGCCCGGGCGGCAGCCAAGAAATTGTTATGAAAATTGACTTTTTAGCCGCAAGCTAAACTAATTTTGCGTTTTGCAATGGCGCCGATGTCGATGCTACTGCCGCCTTGCATAAAAGACAATCGAGAATCGATGCCGAACTACTATCTGTACTACGCGTAGTTGGTTGGCAGTGGGAGGAAGGGGCTTCCCATTATAAGTATATACGTATAGTATAGCAGAGATTCGTTGGCTATATCGATGGCAGCAGTTATCATTTGACTGCCCATTTTCTGCTTATCAAAGCTGATTGCTACGCCCGCAGCCGTTTTCTCGACCTTCTCTCTCTCTCTCCCTCTCTCGTTCTCCAGCTTTCGCTCTTATTGCGCCACTCTGGGTTCCTCTCCTTATTGCCTACTTGCCTACTCGCAGTCACTGCTCCTGATAGCCGTCAAAGTTGCAATTGTCTTTTAGTCCTTGCCACCGCTCAAAGCTTATTGCACTTATATTCAGCTGCTGCTGCTGCTTCTTCTTCTTTTACAGATTCCGATTCGGCCGGTGGTGGAGGTGTTGGAGGTGGTTGGGGACTCTATCTTTGTTTATTGTTTTGCACTTTTGCTTGCATTGCCGTTGCCTTGTTATGGCATATAAACTTCATAAATCTTTTGCTCGGTTAAACTTTTGCAATTGAGTTGTGGATACAAATTAACTTAAGTTGCTGTTAAAACTTTTGCTGAAAACCAACAACAACAACAACATCTGTAGATGCAACAACAAGAGCAACGATTTAGCATCAATAGGAGACTCCAGCAACAAAAATATTTACCTCAAGTTCATCTAAACTTTGCAATTTATAATGTCGAGCAATTTGTATATTATTCTTTCGATATACCAATATCTTTCAAGGAGTTAACGTTTTTAGAACATGTACCTCAAAGGGCGCAAGGGTATTCGCTTATAGCTCTCAGTGTGACGAGACGTGGCCATATGCCCATCTGTTCGTCCATCTGTTTGAGCGCAGAAAGCTGAAATTTGTTTCCATTGGTTTCTCCTAAGAGTGACAAAGGTCGTCTTTTATTTTATGATGATTTATCCACCTACTCCCCCAATATTAATGTTTTTTCTCATAACACTCGTAACCTGGCAATTAATTACAACTGGTTAGTACTTAAGGCTCATGTCCAGTTGCATCGTTATTTTAAAGGAAGTTAGAGTCAGACTCAACTCTTTGCTGCTAGTTAGTTAGTTAATGTGAAAAAAATGTTAAACAGTTTTTTATAAAACTCTTACAACATAAATGAGCGAAAAGTCTGGAGAATGTGTTTTCGATCATTTTTGTAAGCTTTATTCTGAACGAATACTCTACTGAGGGAAGGTATATTTATTATTTTTATTTTATTATTATTTTTTTACACTCACTGAATTCAATGAGACTAACTATTTGAAATTTAATGAGGTTTTAGGTTTAAATCAAATAGGAAGGTAGGAATTAAATACTAGATTGGGGGAAATTATGTAACAGGCAGAAGGAAATATATCTGATCTGGTAAAGTGAATATATTCTTCTCAATCACAATCACAATGCGTAGGCTGTATTTGTAGTTATCTTGATGTTTGCCCCGTCTTCATACAAATAGGTAAGTAAGGAAAGGAGATCAGTAAGTAAATATTTTTAAAATTGTAGTTTCTAGCTTAGGGTTGCATTGAATGTAGTTTTTAGAAGCTAGAAATAAAGTCGCCCAATTTAATTTCTTTAGAGTGCAGCTTGCCAGTTGCTGTTAAGGATAATTACAACTAGTTTTGCTGTGCA